AACGTTTGTCGAGGGATTGACTTCACTTGTCTCTTTGACGAGTTCGTAGCTTGGTGCGGAGAATGACAAAAATCACTGATGACGCCGAATACGATGCCGGCGAAACGTTTGAGAATGTACCAAGTCCACTTTCTGATGTCTGACAACTACTATGGCAGACGACTTCGGAATAGGTGCGTTCTGCAATAAGACCAAGTCTCGACAACAAGGTCAACCCACTTCAATGATTTTGATGTTTAGCAGCGGACAATTGGCAATCAGATAGGGGGAAAAAAGGGGGGCAGAATGTAGAACAGGAACGCTGCAAAGGCATCTGCTATCGGTGGTCGAGATGATTACGCTCCACTAAAGCCACTTGTAGCGACACACTCTTAGGCGACATTGGAGGAAATGAGAGCACAGAATGGTATGAATAATTAGATGAGCCATATGGAGTGGAGCTGAGAGGAGATGCAGACTAGAAAGTAGAACAAAAAATAGGGGCAAAGAGTGATGTCACAACAGTTGAACAGAAAATTGGTCAAAGGGATTGCCTTCACTTGTATTGTTTATAAGTTGTAACTCTGCGCTCACAATGACGCCTTCCACTGACAATGCCGGCGAAACGTTTAGGAATGCACCCAGACAGTGGTTTAATGGTGAAAATCACGAATATTATGTCAGAATACACAGAACTATGTACGTTCCACAAGGTCTCCCTGACGCTCCGACTAAGTTGCGAAAATAAGGTCGAACCAACACCATAAAGCTAAAGGAGGCTGCGGCCAAACAGAAGGCCATACAATCTTGGTTTTATAGAGGCAATGAAATAAACACTAACCGTGTCACCATTTCTCCCCTCATCTGAGGAGGACCAAGGACAAAATAGGCGAAATGGGCCATGTCCAGTCCCAGAGGCCGATATTTCGAGCTCCGCCACCAGCTGGCGGAAACTAAGGATATCCTCCTCCAAATTAGGTTGGCATTCCAGAGGCATGCGAAGATGCGTTGATAAAAGCATATCTGGTCGATCGGCTTGAGCTTCTTCATCAACCTGTGCAGAAAATAGGTTGCAGGCTCCAGAGAGGAGTACTGGATGTGACGAAATGCGAGAAGCCGCTGATACTGTCTCAAGTACGTCAAGAAGATAACCACTTTTGGCAGCCCGGCAAGCTCTACGAAATAAGGTAGGAAACAATTTATTTATCGGGGAAAAACAAGCTAATAAGGAGAATATAAAGGGATAAAATTATAAATTAAATCTACTCATAAAAACGAATCGCAAGAAGAACTTGGACCATG